CGGGGCGTTTGCCCATGTACCTGGAGAACGGGGACAGCTCATTTTGGAAGTCGTGTATGGAACATTACATTTAGTGGGAAAGATGTGGGAAAGATGGAAACAGCTAGAGTGTTGACAAGATATAGTCAAGAAAGGTGAAGCAGTTGAGACAGATGATGTACCGACTCTCTTTTTTTCCAGTCGATCATTCCCAGCAGGTGTGTTCCTAGCTGCTAGGTTTAAGATCCGGTTGGAGCAGCGGCACTTGACGCCCCACTTGCAACATCGTTGGTATTTCAAGCCATGGGTTGGATCATAGCATGGGCAACAATGAATCAAACAATTGAGAAATAAGTTTCAAATCATTTGATATCCTTTGTGATCTTTATGTTGGGCCCAGCCCACTCCTGGCTGCCAACGTGCCTAGGCAAGCAAACCCTCAGCGATCACTACGATCGCATCTCAAATGGCCTCAACCATGGAACCTTGGATGTGAAAGGTTGCTGGGTAAAGCGGAGAGACCTGGGTAATGGGTAAGTTGGTTCGTATCATATAAGATAATAAGATTATTAATATCATATAATATAATATCATACATTTAGGACTTGGCTATACCATCCCATTAGGAACACAGCCTAGACCTAAAGAAAACTTTCCTTCACCAAAGTGAGAAGCTCTTAACGGACTCTTGGTCAAAGAATGCTTCCACACAACCCTCGAAGAAGAACCTCAGGTTGCTAGGATAAGTGTTGGCTTCCTTCAGCTTCTGCACGCAGAAGTTCCAGAACATCACCTGGCAGGAAAGGTTATGGCCAACGAAAAAGGAAAGTAATCAAACCCAACATTGTTTTAACAAGTAGGTTGTTTTAAACAATCTAGCTGTTGATATCCGAGGGGGGAAATTTTGTAAACCATTAAAGGCCTCCACTTTCGCAAAACAACGGACACGACTCTTCACATCGTGGTTGAAGGTATCCCGAATGGCATCAATTTTTTTGGCTGGCTCACTCCTCGATGGTCGGTTTCGCCTGGCAAACGTCTTCTTCTCGAGATCCTCAGACTCGGGTGCAACAGCCTGGTTGCTGGCTTTGTCAACATCAGGCATGTCAGGCACCTCCTCATCTTCGGCAGCCGGAACCACACCAGCCGGCATGGCATCAGATCCTGTTGCCTGCTCTTCGTGCTCCTTTTCCTCCACTGCCTTGCCACGTTTCCTGTTGAGTTTTCCCGACTCACCTGCTGATCCCTGACGTTTCTTCCTCTTGTCGCTGGCTTTTGCCAATGCTTTTGCTTCAGCTTGTGCTGCAGCCTTCTCCGCCTTTTCCTTCTCTTTGGTAGCTGCCAGGAGCTTTGCCTTTGCTTTTTCCAACGAAGCTTTTGTGTCTCGCTTCGCCTTGGCCTTGGCCTTGGCAGCAGCTTTCTTCTTAGCTGCAGCTGTCAGCTTCCTTTTGGGTTTCACTGGCTCGTCAGAATCCTCATCTTCATCAGGTTCTTTGTTCTTCCTGTCTGCAATCATCTGATCTCTCTCAGCGAATTGATCCACCCGCCTAACTTGAACATTTGTATGGAACAAGTCTGGCTCGAGATCATCCATTTTCTCAGCACTGGTTTGGCCATCCTCTGTGTATTGCAAAGTCTCCAATTCGTCTTCCTTCCTGCTAGGATTCTCGTCCCCACCACCAACGGGCACAACAGACTTGTCAACACAGGGCGTGTCAGACACTTCCATAGCGGTGTCAGGTTCAGAGTCCAGGTAGGTGTCAGGAACCTCGGGGACAAACTCCTTTGGTGACGAAGTGGAGCCACACAAATTCGAAGATGCCAACCTCCGAGACAACCTTGTAGGTTCACCCTGGCTTTCATGTGGAACCCCTTCGTTCACTGGTTCATACTCTTGCCATTGCTTGGCAACAGGTGACATGTCTACAGGTTGGGTGTCAGCGATGTCAACTTGTACTGCTGGAACTGCAGGCAGGTTCCTCTCAGGCAAAGGTCGGGCCGCGCTTTGGACTTGTCGTTGCAAAAGCGCTTTCCTGGAGGCAGCAGTGGCTGGCAAAGAGCAAACCTGTGATAACCTGTGGATACTTGGGGACATGTTGTCGGCAATCCTATAGGACCTCAAAATTACTTGGTACCGGCCTACAAACAAAAAACTATTGTTGTTCAGAATGATTCAATCTAGCAACTGTAGTGCAGCAATCCTTTCCCGCACATTGCTCAGACTTGCAGTGGTAGAATCCAAACCTTTGGCACCACAACCTGTAGCCTTCTCACAGCCCACTTCCTTTGACTCAAGCACGTCAGCAGCACCAGAAGAAACCGTAGATTTTGGAGGTGTGACCTCAATCTCCGTTGGGGTCACTTCCGAATCTTGAGAATCCAAATCCACAACCTCCACGACCTTCACATCAGGAGAGGTAGGATTTGAAGGCCCTTCGTTGTGTGGAACTGCTGCTTCACCTCCCAAGGGTTCTGCCAACGGGTTTGTAGATTCTTGCTGCTCCATAGAGTCCGGTGGTATTTGGGAATCCCGTACTGGAACAACAGGTGGTGCACGCAAGTTCACACCCAAGCTAGCTGCCAACTCCACGTCCCCCATAGGATCTAAACCCCCACAGCGACTCTTGCAAGCATCATCACCCCTTTCATGAGTGTCATCATCACCAGGTGGCTGTTGATAACCATCATGGGCAGCAACCTCAGCGGTTGGTACTTCCTGTTGTTCTGACGATTTCCCCCTCTTTGGGTTTGCTGTCACTGCCCACGAGGCAGAAATGGTCTTGTACAGGACTCCAATTGCCGGGTCCTGATTGTTGATTGCTAGATAAACGGTCCAAATAAGTCCCAAAATCAGCCCCATGTATGATAAATAAAATTACTTGTACATAATTGTACATAATTGACCTCCATGGTTGATCACAAAATTACTTGTACATAATTGTTAGCCCCAATCAAATGACACTAAGAACACCAAACTCCAAACTAGTGTGAAATACCCTATATTATATCTTATTGGCACATCCGCCAATAGATTCATCTATGAACAATAAAATTTCATACAAATAGGGGTAAGGATCCCGTCGGGTTGCACCTGTGTGACGTCGCTTGAGGTATGTGACAAACCCTTTGATCGATTCAGCATCGCAGTTAACCCTGACGATGTCATAGGGCATGTTGGTCAGCGAACGAAAGACTTGAACCTGAAACCCCAGACTCCGAAAGTAAGATACCATTGTACTGTTTCTTGGTGGATTCAACACTTAAACCAAAAGTTTCAACTTTGGACCCCCTACCTCATAGCGTAGCTTGTCAATGTTCACAGTCTTTGGGGAGCTAGTTCTCGGGCAATGGATGGACAAGAGCACTTCTATGAGACGAGCATTATAAGCTATGGTCTGGAACGAAATCACACCGGTGAGCTTTGGGTCGGGCCATGCCAACAAACTTCCCCGCTTCAAGGCACCATGCCTGATGATGTCATCCCTTTCCCATGTTTTCCCCAATCCATCCAAGGACTGCGGGGGAGCTTCCATCTCGTCAGGGATCTCAGCCATGACCGGTGAATGGAAGGGGCCAGTAAAAGCCAAAGAGACCACTAGAAAAAGCAACCCTGTTTAAGCCGAAAGCAACAATGCAAGTATGGTGTATCCGATAAATCTCTTAAGGACCATTCCAAATTCCAAACTCAGAATAACTCAGAAATCTTGTGGGGAAACGCTGCAACCCTGAACCCTGGGGCACTTGTCCAAAGTTCCAGCATTGGGCGATCACTCCATCCCAAAGGCCGCCTGCGTGGGTCTCTGATGGTGCCACAAGCAAAAGGGTTATTTTCTGATATGTTCTGTAGGTGTTGCTGGGCACAGGTACTTTTCCCCGCTCCCCAAGTAGTTTTAAACCTACCTTTGTAGTTCTTGTAGTGAGACTTGCCTACCTGGTCTCCTAAGGCAAGTGAGCGATTCTCAGCGGCTGTGAAATTCACGTGGCCTTAGATCAATGGATTGGGGGGGTGTTCTGAATAAACCTCAATCAGAAACTGGTAAAATCATCTCGAATGATCATGGATAAATGAGCGTTGTATGCAGTTGGAATGTTGGAATTTTATGGACGCTTTCTTGCTGCTAACAAGATGCACACATTTTCGTGTAGTTCTTGGCAACACCGGCTAAGTAGTAGCTGACACCACCAAGTCTGTAGTTCTCAGAGATGACGCCAGCACGATAGTCAGAAATGAGCACCTCAAAAAAATACAATAGGTTGCAGGGGGTTACTAGAAAAAACAATCTGAAACCAGTGGAACCTTCAGTCAACTCCTAATTGTGTTTCACCATTTGACGAGAAACCTCAGAGCTGCCGCTGAAAATGACTTGCTGCACTTGATGCCACCACTGGTTTGGCATTTCCAAGAGGCCTTCCGCAGATAGTGGGGCCAACACTAGGTAACTATGTCCAGCATTGGGTTTTTGCCATACTTACTTCACAACCAACATACAAGAGGAACAAACCAATTCAACCCCTGGCCTTGCTGCTTCAAAGTTGCCATTGTTGTCTTAGAGACACTGATAAACAAATGGGCCATGATGCCCAGTCCCAGTCACTAATCTTTCCTAAATTTTTGATCCCAAAAGCTCCATGAAGGTTTGACTCACAGAGACTGGCTAACTCTTGACACTGGGAACTGCATGCAGTGCATGCACAGCATGGGGGTTGGCACCTGCTCAGCATGGGCAGGATATAGAGCGGCGAAAACTATGATTTGAGCCATTCCAAAACCACCTTCAAACATGGATTTCTTGGAAAATCCGCCCGTATTGGAGGAAACGCCCGCAGGCGTTAGAAGTGCCTTTTGAATCAAAAGGCTGATATTCTGTAAAAGGCATTAATAAATGCCCTTTCGAAGATATAGGTATATAGATATAGATATATTATTCATGAATAATATATGCATCATGCATAACTTAGTGTTGATCGTATCAGATAGCTCCATGCTCCAAATTCTCATCTTTTCAAAGACGTGCCGCCAGGTGTGCCCTTTGAACAGCTCAAAGCTTCGTTGGGTCATTGAGTCAATCCTGGGACTGCGTGCCTCGCCTGGAAGGGATATCGGATAATTATCCATATCCTTCAAGGATCTTGAAAGATGATGAATGATGACCTTCGGTTACAAAAAAATGTTATTACTATTGGTTGAAAGATTGTCACTACTATTGGTCCCCAATTGGTCAACCTTGGTTACTTGATCCAAGATCGATAACAAGAAAGGATCCTGAATCTTCCAAAATGACAATCGCACAAAGTGATGAGTTTTCAGACATCTACACACGGGCCTTAGGTCAGGATGACGCAACATCATGTAACATCATGCAACATCCCTATCAGTTCATCCAACTTGCGGAACTTTATTACCATATTGAGCCGTCCACACTGGGACCAACCAATCGCAAAGGGATGAAGTCGGCACCTCAGGAACCGTGAGTGCAGTGACACCGCCAAAGGGCAAAGAGAAAATGCTGTCGCTTGGCAGCGGATCTGTGAACTGCTTCGCATCGCACTCATTGACTCATACAATATCGGTTCAATATCGCAAAATGATGCAAAATGCCGTTTCAAGTGGCTTTTGGGATTGAAATGGATTGAAGATCATTGGAAGCCATGCTCCAATGCCAGAACTCCAATGGCAAAGCCAACATCATTCTTGTTTCAGTTTTGAATTTGAACACTGGTTGAAGGGTTGCATTGTTGTGTTTTGTTGTTGTTTTGCAAAGCAACTGGTTCAAGATAAAACCCTGTGTTTGCAGACCTTAGGTGGGGGTTTCTCCACGCGAGGAGGCAGTGTGCAATCAGACATGTTGGATGTTGTAGGTACTGTGTCATCCATGTATCATCTTTACATATCTTTCTCATTTGCAGGGATGTTTGGCATTGTTTGCTCCATGTGTTTATTGGATTTTATTTGGTAGGGAGTAGGGAACGACAGTTGACGATGTTTTTTTTTCCCCTGTCAGGATGGTTGTGGAACGATTTACCTTCAGAGAGGCCTACAGTACGAAATGCAGTGGGATGCTGATACTGAGATTGGGCCATCCGAGCCCTAGATGGAAAAGGATGGCTGTGGGATCCTCCTGCCCAGGATTGCGATCGTGTCCGGGTGACCGCAACAGTTGAAGCACCGCGCACAGATGAGGAGATCGAGTTACAGGTGTGCAGGGTTACCACCCCAAGTCCTGTAGAAGTTTACCAGAGTCAAAACGAAGCCAGCTTGGGCAACCTTCAGGGGGGTCGACTTGGCAAATGGTCTGTGACAGTTGATAGCCTGTCATGCTTGACCTATCTTGTGGTTTAGGGTTTATTTAGAGTTGGTTTATGGTTGGTTTAGAGTCATTTAATATAAGTTATGTTTAGGTTGTTTAGCTTTGGTTTGGACCTCAAGTTAAGCATAGTCAACCCCCTTCACGATGTCGGTTTTCGTCAAGTTATCACCATTTTTTGTTCCACAGCTCAGGCCGAATGGGATGAAGCTTGCCAGCAGACCAACCACCTCAGCTCGGCTTATTTCTTGATTAATAAATAATATATATATATGCATTGCGCCCGCTGTGCGGGTAAGACATTTCCACCCGCAGACGAAGACGAATTCCGAAGACGAATTACGAAGACGAATTCTCCGAAGACGAATTCCCCCCCGAAGACGAATTCCCACCCGAAGACGAATTACGAAGACGAATTCCCCGAAGACGAATTGCCCCCCGAAGACGAATTCCCACCCGAAGACGGATTCCGAAGACGAATTCCCCGAAGACGAATTGCCCCCCGAAGACGAATTCCCCCCCGAAGACGAATTGCGAAGACGAATTGCCCGAAGACGAATTGCCCCCCGAAGACGACTTCCCCCCCGAAGACGAATTGCGAAGACGAATTCCCCGAAGACGAATTGCCCCCCGAGGACGACTTCCCCCCCGAAGACGAACTGCGAAGACGAATTCCCCGAAGACGAATTGCCCCCCAAAGACGAATTCCACCCCGAAGACGAATTCCGAAGACGAATTCCCCGAAGACGAATTGCCCCCCGAAGACGAATTCCCCCCCGAAGACGAATTCCGAAGACGAATTCCCCGAAGACGAATTGCTCCCGAAGACGAATTCCCCGAAGACGAATTGCCCCCCGAAGACGAATTGCCCCCCGAAGACGAATTCCCCAAAGACGAATTGCCTCCCGAAGACGACTTTTTCACCAACGACTTGGGAGAAAAGCATGCATACACTCAAAGCCTACATGCATGTCATATATGCATCCCTAGACCTTCCAAAGTTCAATAATTTCTGTACTTTTGGGCTTTTGGCCACAAATGACCGCAAAAAACCGCAAATGCCGCAAATAGTTCAAATTGGACCAATCGTTCAGAAACACACTAGAACAACATGAAATTGCAAGAATGAAGCTGACTTGACGTATCTTGGCATGCTAGATGGGAGTTTCTGCATGTTGACAAACAAAGTGGACCTGCTTAGCAGACGGAAAGAAAAACAAATCTACCGGTTGGTGAAGATTGGTGAAGAATATGACAAAACAACTAAGTTGCTCAAAGAAGGCTTTGGTGCCACGCTAAAAGCAATCTTTGTTGGATGGGAGACACCAGACCGCTATAGACATTGAATTTGTAAAAAACAGAACGCCCATGTTTTTTTTGAAGAAATGTCTGCAGGAAGTTCCAAAACTGTTCTGAATTCAACAAAAATGTCGACAGTTTTCCCGCAAAAAGTACGCAAATTTCCCGCAAAAATACGCAAATATCCGCAAAAGTACGCAAATCGGGATTTCTTAACTGCTGCGGTTCATGCATGTGACAAATCGCATCAAATCGCAGCTTGTTGGAATGAAAACTGTTATTTCTGCAAACTAAGCATGCTTCAAACTAACTATTTTCAAATATAGCTTAGTATTCCTGCATGTTTGAGGCTTTGAATCTTTGGGGGCTCCAATCACCAACACAAACTCTGCAAATTTAGGAAAGCATGGACATTATCACCAGCAATTCGAATCGGTGCATTATGAGGGACCCATTGCGGCAAGATATTTTAACCACCGGTGCCATATCTAAGGTGGCAGTCAGAACTGCTGTAAAGAGTTCACTTTTTGTTGAAACCGTTTACATTTAAGATTAAACGTTTCAACCGGCCCAAAAGTGCAGAAATCCCAATCATACAGAATTTTCTGTACTTTGGAAGGTCCAGGTCTAGTTTTTATTTTGGCAAACCGTAGGGACATTTTTTTTGTCCATGGTGGGTTTTCACCGTATAACGGACGTCTTTGTTTGGTTCACTTGCATATTTTCCCTACAAGGGCCTGTCATGTTAGGAACTGGGCCCCCAGTTCCAGGAACTGGCGGAACCATGGTCACGGTTTGACGGGTTGGTTTATGGACCCCAACACCGATCATGATGACTATAACGAAGGAGGTAACATGAGGTAACGAAATGAACGACTTGGAAAAAAGGAAGAGATAAACAAACCGCATGTAAGACTTGAAAAAAGGAAGGAAATAGCGACATGAACGCGTTGACATGAAAGGAAGAGGTAAATGAACAGGATGGAAGCGTTGAAACGAGGGGGGGAAGTAGCGAACGGAAGGGAAGAGTTAAACCGATTTAAAGCGGAAGGAACGACGTATAGGGAACAGAAGGGAAGAGTTGAAACGAAAGAAGCAGCGAACGGGATTACAAAGAGTTGAAACGAAAGGAAGGAAGCAACGAATGGAAGGGAAGAGTTGCAACAAAAAGACGGACACAATGAAAAGGACGAGTTGACAGGAAAGGAAGAGCAGGAAGAACAGGACAGAAGATTTGAGCGAAACGACGGACTTCGCGAAATGAACGCCTTTAAATGAGAGAAAGAGGTGAACGAATAAGATGAAACAATGGGGAGGAAGTAACGAACGGAGCAGAAGTTAAAACGAAAGGAGCGACGTAGGGAACAGAAGGGAAGACAAAACGAAAGGGAAGAGAGTAACAAACGAAATGCTCTGGATGCTATAGCCTCTGGGCTTGCTCTTTGAGATTTTGAAAATTCTTTTGATGCTACGCTCTTGGCCTTCACCTGAGGCGTTTCAGCACGCCCTTGACGCTACGCTCTGGAGACAGTCGCCTCTTGAATGCTATGCTAATTTTCTCTTGGAAGTTCGAACAAGCCCTTGGTGCTACGCTCTTGGCTTAATCTTGGGTTTTCCGACACGCTTTTGCTGCTACGCTCTGAGCATCTCTTAGCTTTCTCCTGGGCCAGTCCGGCAAGCTCTTGATGCTACGCTCTTAGCTGTCTATTGGAACTTCCAACACGCTCTTGGTGTGTTTTATCTTCCAACACTTTCTCTTTGCCTTGTCCTGGGACGTGCCAGCACGCTCTTGACGCTACGCCCTTGGCTTCTCTTGAAGCATGGCGCGCTATTTTTGCTTCTTTTTGTGACGCATTGAATTAAAACACGCTCTTGATGCTACGTTCTTGGCTCCGGCTCTGACACTCTCTTGATGCTACGCGCTGAACCTCGTCTTGGAACAGTCCAAGATGCTGTTGACGCTACGGTCCACCACAATCGTGATGATACGCTCTTAATTATAACTTTTCTTGGAACTTCCAACGCGCTCTTGTTGGTGCTACGCTCCGCCTCTTGACGCTGCGGTCTGGAGAAAGTCACGCTCTTCCTGCTACGCTCTTAGCTTTGTTCTGGAACACGCCAGGACGCTCTAGTTGCTACGCTCTTTTGTTCTTCGCTTGATGCTACGCTCTGACCTCCAACACGTTCTGGATGCTAGACTCTTAGGTTTTTCTTGGTCCTTCAACACGCTCTCCTGGTATTGCTCGTTTAGGTTTCTCTTGGAACTTCCAACACGCTCTTGGTGCTACGCTCTTGACTTCCTCTTGAAACTGCCAGCGTTCTCTTGATGCTAGCCTCCTGTGCTATGCTTTTAGCCTTGGAACTTCCAGCAGGCTCTTGATGTTACGCGCTCAACTCCCGCATGTTCTCAATGCTACACGCTCAATACTTTTTCATTGAACTTCCTGAGCTTTCTCCTGGAACACTCCGGCGCTCTCTTCGTTTGGGTTTGGTAATAAGATAAGAAGGTTCTACTACTTCAACTTAATGATTGATCCTTGCCTCAAGGATCTTCAACTGAGGTTGCAAAAGCACGCCACACGATCTTGATAATTACCTCTACGCTTTATATTTCGACATAACCTAGCCTTGGTGGTCAGGCCAAATCCCTATCTGCCCTCCGGCTCCTCTTCCTCTACATTCCTCTATTTATCTTCCCACATACAAAGAATACAGTACGCCTGCGCCCTTACTCGTCATGCCTAGCCTGTCAACAGGCAATGTGTCGTCAGGCAATAATATACACACAATGCGTCATCAGGGGGATAATGCGTTGTCAGGGGGCAATGCGTCGTCAGGGAATGTGTCGTCACAATGCGTCGTCAGGGGGCAATGCGTCGTCAGGGAATGTGTCGTCACAAGGCGTCGTCAGCGGGTAATGCGTCGTCAGGGGGCAATGCGTCGTCAGGGAATGTGTCGTCACAATGCGTCGTCAGGGGGTAATGCGTCGTCAGGGGGCAATGCGTCGTCAGGGAATGTGTCGTCACAATGCGTCGTCGGGGTTTAATGCGTCGTCAGGGGGCAATGCGTCGTCAGGGAATGCGTCGTCACATTGCGTCGTCAGCGGGTAATGCGTCGTCAGGGGGCAGGGAATGCGTCGTCACAATGCGTCGTCAGGGGGTAATGCGTCGTCAGGGAGTAATGCGTCGTCAGGGAATGTGTCGTCACAACGCGTCGTCAGGGGGCAATGCGTCGTCAGGGGGCAATGCGTCGTCAGGGAATGTGTCGTCAGAATGCGTCGTCAGGGGGTAATGCTTCGTCAGGGGGCAATGCGTCGTCAGGGAATGTGTCGTCACAATGCGTCGTCAGGGGGTAATGCGTCGTCAGGGGGCAACGTGTCGTCAGGGAATGTGTCGTCAGAATGCGTCGTCAGGGGGGCCGGGGGCATCGCCAATGTGTCGTCACAATGCGTCGTCAGCGTCAGCGCGAAATGTCTTACCCAAGCTGCGGGTGCCCTGTATATATATACACATGTGTATATATATATAAAGATAGGGGGTTCTAAAATGGTCTAATTTGGGATGATTTAGGGGCACCCCCCATTTTGGGAAACCTCGATGTCGGTTGCAACCAGACTTAAATGACCAGTTGCTAACATGAGTTGATCCCCCAAGTGGAAGTTATATGCCAGTTCTATTTCGAGGCATACAGATGTAGCCTGATGTACCAGTCACCTCAAACGGCTCAAATTATGTGCTTCCTGTGAACGGATTTATCCACTTCCCTAGAGTTTGCAGCAATAAGGAGTTGATTGCAGAGATGCCTCAGCACGAGTTGAAGTTGGGAGAGTGCCTCGGCCCTTCGTTCCTGAGCTGATGGGATGGTGCATAGTGCATAGTGTTAGCACCTGCACCGCCTGCATGAGTTGGCCAAATATGAACCTTGCATGAAGGTATTCAGCTTGAGCTTTCAGCTCGTTGGTGGAAAGGATTTTTTCTATAGGAAAATTGCAAATTCAAAGACCAACTTGGGTCCTCACAAGCTGTGTTTCTATATGTTTCTATGTGTTTCTGTGAAGTGTGAACATTTCAAAATTTCATGGGCACATTGGATCACACTGGATCATCTCCGGAGTGCGAGGTACTTTATGTCCTCCAGTATGAATTGGCTCGCGCTCTTCAACTCCCACCTCATAGGCCTGGAGTTGCCGGATTCACCGGGGTGATGGATATGGCATCAGATATGGATAGTGAATGATAGTGATATTAGTGATGATACAGCTCAACTTTTCAGGCGCTCAATGACTCAAACTGGCACCCCATTTGACCTCCCGGATGCATCAGCGACATCCGAATGGTCCATAGTTAGCTCAGTTGGTTTATTTTTTATGATCTTCTAGTTCTATCTATTTCTAGGTTTTGTAGGCTTCATGGTGGAGAATATCTCTTCAGTTGATAAAACCGATGAAAATCAATCTATCTACACATACATACATATATAATTATAAATAGATATAAATAGTCTATATGTAAATCTATAGAAATCTATAGAAATCTGATAACTGAGGTAACTTGAGTAACTTGGATCTTGGGGCATAACCTTGAGGCCAAAGTGGTGCGGACGCAGCACGCATCATCAAGCTGCTCTCTGCTGCGAAGCGTTGGGGTCCAGGGCCCGCGGCTTGGCTCAAGGGAGTCTAACCATCAAAATATGGAGATACGGTTGATATACTATATATATATATAAGTGGATAATATTATATTATGACATATTATGATGACATGGTTTATGGATGATATGTATATACGTATATATATATATGATGGGGCTTATCATGAATCCATTATTGTTTACCTGAGAAAGGGCTTGAAATTCACATGTTTGGATGATATTTGATGCACTTTTAAATCTTGAAAGGCATTGGAAGGTGTAACTAATTCGTTGAACAGAATTGCACCGGGACTGTGAAGTGGCACCTTTCCACAGTGGTAGTGGCCGATGTCAAAAAGATGGTTGCACATAATGGTTGTATTGAAGTCAGCGGCAGATGTGAAGGACTGGGCGATGGGTCAGGATTGCGGGATGTTGCGTAATGCAACCGGTTTCAACTTGGTCCAACTGCACAAATTGTGGCTTCAGTTACGCATACCTTTTAATTTGATAGTTTTACCTTAAGCACTCAGTTATATGTACTGATGATAATCATTCTAATGCATGATATATATATATATATACACATAATATGATATGTTTATCATACAGGATTTAGAAAAGAAGATGCCAGTTGCAGCAACAAACCTTGCGAAATATGATGAAACTCGCTCCGAGGATGGCTGGCACCAGAATGACGAGACCTGGACCTGTGTAACTCGAGAGCAGAACTGACATTTCATGTTTGTGTACCCTCTGGTAATGACTAACAGTTTGCTATTGAACATGACCATAGAAATAGTGAATTTTCCCATTAAAAATGGGTGGATCTTTCCATAGCTATGTTAGTTTACCAGAGGGTAATGTGCTTTCTTGGTGTTTGTATGCGTGTGTCCAAGTAGCAGGCACCGATTCGGTGATTCGGCGCCACTTTTCACTTTTCCTTGTCGTTCAAGATTCTGTTTGCCATCACATCTATTTCGAAATTCCGCAACTAAGAAAGATGGAACCAGGAAAAAAACAGTAACGCTAGTGTATAGTTGGTTTGGTCGTTTGGACTGGAACTGGGAGTGAAGTCTTGGTTGGGTGATGTGTCCTGACTGTGCGAAAGACACCTACTCCAGACTACCAGGGCACTGGTGTCGAAGTTGCAGTATCTCAATTCCGGCCAGAGCCAAGGTGGACCAGAAAAATCTTCTTGGAAAGATTACCTTGGATGCTCGGCTTTAACCGTGTTGACATCCAAGAAAAGGAAAATCAACTCCGCGAAGTGGCCTCGCATTTTTTGTAAAGGCACATTGACATAACTTGGGAATCTGTGCCTCCGATTGGAATAAGGCAGTTTACCATCTTTGTAGGTCCTTCAGTTCTAGACAGTCGGAAGATGTCGGAAGCGGCTCTGTTGGTTCGCAAAACAATTCAGACATGATCAGGTCAGTCAGCCACTTTCCTTTGAGCATCATTGATGAATCGACGTTGCCTTGACCTGGTATCTGGATTTATTTGGTGTTTGGACACGAAGCAGCCTGTTGTGGGTTGAATCATGCAAAAAAAAACAGCTGGAACAGCCGAGGAGCAGGGTCGTGTGATTTGGCATCATGCCCGAGTCTTGACTGAATGAGTTAGCACTTCATTCAAAGGAGGCCCTGTTCCAGTTTAGTATGGCCAGTACGACGGCACCACACTGTATTAGGATGTAATTATCTGTGTTGCAGACTTCTCATTTCGTTGCCCATCAACAAGCCAAGAATTTTGGTGATCTTCACTGTATTTTTTTTTCGTGAGCCAGGTGGTGACCAGGTGGTGTCAGGATGCAGGATGAAGGTTTTTTTCTTTCAAGATCTGTTGAAGAGCTGCGAGCATTAGATAACCAGTTTCAGCAGAAAACAGAAATCCCGGTCCATGCGGAGTTGGCCAAGTCATTTCAATTCTCCTGGCAACGTGAATAAGAACAACAGTAAGAACACACAATAACACACATGTTGGATATATTGGGTCCTTAGGTCCTGTTCGTTCCTGCTAGGTCCTGCTAGGTCCTGTTAGGTCAGATCGGGTTGAAGTTCACCGAGGAAACTCGCCTTGAGGGCCTTTGCCCGGGCATCGCCGGTTTTGTCTTTTGAGGGGCTACTTTCAGTGCCCTGGGAGAGTGAGTTTCGAGTTCCAGGAAATAGTCTAGGATTTTCTAAAGATACGGGATGATACTGGTAATTGATGTAAGTTCGTGTTAGTCTGAGGCCAGATGTGGGCAGACAATTTTGACCAATTGAAAGAACAGATGTCAGCGCCATTGTACTGCCAATTGTCAGAGCTGTTGGTCCTGAGGTGCTGTTCATCATCTACGATCATCTATCTCCCCCCAGAAGAGAATCCAGCACCCAGGGTACCAAAAAGGTTTAATCATCAAGAGATAGTTCTCTACCCATCTCCAATTTTGCTTCTCAAAGGCGTTGGAACAGGTTGTTTATACCTGGCAATCTTTGGGAAGCTTTGAGCATCAGCTGTTGGTTGTAAACAAGATGCCCAATCCTGATCGTCAGTGATTTGCAAGCTCATTCTCCTAAAGTTTATCGCACAGCACAGCAGGGCTGCTTGAATCGTTTGTTGCTGAGAGACCCTTGCTGTGAGTTGACTCATTCCTGCGCGGGTTTCTTCAGTTTCGTGGTGTCGGGTTCTCACGTGTCCGTCCCTGAAACCATTCAGGACTCTTTTTGGTACACCGGGGTCCGGAGAAACACTTGGGCTCTATTTTGTTGACCTGTTGTGACGTTTACAACTACGATTTCGGATTTTGATCCTGTCTGTCTGTACCCTATAGACCCGGACCTATTTTTTGGTTTACTGTAATTTGTTTTGTTTTTTTTTTTTGTGACCCTTCCTTAAAATCAAAGGGTTTTCAATTTATGTTTTTCCGTTTTGTGATGTTTCGTGGTGTCGGGTTCTGGATGGCCTGGGACTGTTTCTATTGACCCAAAAGCATAATGCATGCTGCACGCGAGACCAAGAAGAACAGAGCGTAACATTATCCCACGAGGAACTGCAGTACATGGATTGTATATGATTGATTGTATAATTATTATAATCATTCATTCTGTTTCATTAAAGGCAGGAGTTCCTGTTTCGGATCTGTCTTAGTCCACTCCATTTCGTTCAGCTGTTGGACACGTTCCTGAGCTTTCGTGCCTCCCGACACGAGAAGCACTATGATAAGGCATGATCGATGATGTTGTTCATGGTCTTGGTTCTTGGAACTGGAATCCCAGGATATATCATCCTTGTTTTTTTGTGCAGGTTTGACGTGCTGCACTGTGTCAAGGGTCAATATCACACCCTACCATCACCCCATACTAGTACTACCTAGCATTCGGCAAGCGAATCTAGACGCACCTCATCGGATTGGAGAATTTCTTTGGGGCATGCTGTATTGCAGACACCCCTCCTGAGTTCAAGTTCTCTTTTCAACATCTCCGTGGAAGAAACATGTGGCCAGTCGCCAGTCTTGCGAGTTTTCTCTGTTTGCAAGCTGCCAATGTGTGTGTGACTAAACAAAAGACTGAAAAAACTGCTCAGTGAACTCATAGCTAAAAGGGCATGTTCCAACATCTTTCACATGAGAAGACAAGTGAAGACTGTAGAAGATGGCACCGCAGGTTTAAGCCGTTGTGTTCATCCAGGTCTGTGGGGACACTTGGTGCTGTGTACATGCAGTTGAAGTCGCGCATTCATCAAGGGAGACCCTGGTCAGAAAAATGAAAGGGATAGTTGATACCTTACGCGAGGGAAATTTCTGTGTCTCACCTTAACATTCGGAAACTTGGCACTGAGAGGAATCCCACCTTTTTGATCTTGCTGACTTTGCTTGGTGTCACTATGGTCTATAGATACGACGCAAGATTCAACGGTTCAACCTGTGAACTCTCAGGTCAGACCATCCTTGCAGGGGACGTATTCAACGGTTCAACCTGTGAACTCTCAGGTCAGACCATCCTTGCAGGGGAGTGCAAGGTCCCATGATGCAGCCGTCTCAAAGGATGCTAAAAGGCAGAAAAAAGACCGCATGGCTGCCAAATGGTGCCGACATTGCAGGTGGCTAAATTCATATGGAAAGATCATGTCTCGGAGGCTGGTGAAGGGAGCCAACACATTGGTTCTGTGATGGTTAGTATCCAAATTCATTATTATTGAAGTACATGATACTGAATCACATTTCGTATCATTTGGGTCAAGGCCCGATGTTTCTTGATCATCACCCGAGTTGGGTACAGATCAAGCTTGGGTCCCCTTGTACAACCATATCCACCCTTTAAAGTTGGGGAATACTCAGACCAACACTGGCCTGGAGTCCCGTGAGGAGAGTGCTGAAATGGTGGCACCCACACCTGGAGAGGCTGTATCACCTCGTTGCCAACTTGATTGAAACATATCGAAACATGTTGACCCATATCGAAATATATTGAAATCATTTAGAAATCATCCGTTCTCACATTCTAATAGTCTCTGCACGTCCTTGCTATTGATTCCTTGTCCTGCCATTGCTTCAATAGTCTTCCGAGTTTCTTGTTGTGTCTTGTCATTCCTTGTGGTTTCCATATGATGTTTCTCATGATTCCATATGATTCCTTCATTCTCACCACAAGGCGCACAAGGGTCCATTCCTTGCCAGGAGCCCCGGGGGCAAGGCCTGAGACAGGTCATAGCCCAAGGTGGCGTCGCGGACATGGGATCCTCATCCGGCCGTTCTTAGCACAGCAAAGCAGTGTCCACATCGAGGGGAAAAGGTCGAGGTCCTCCAGGTATCGAAAGGTCCTCTTTGCATCTCTTTACCTGGACAGTCCGAACATGTCCGAACAATGTTTGGCATGTTTTGATACGTTTTGCTAAATGTTTCCAAAGATCTGAAATGTGACGGTCATCATCGGAATCTCTGACAGATGCCTTATATATATATATACAGTATATATACATAATATGGTTCATTATTTTTCTATATTTTTCTATTGTTTAAAATTGTGTTATACTTTTTTTAAAAAAATAGATGTGACATGATGTGACCTGTTGCGACACCAAGGCCTTGCGCCACTTGCGCTTCCAGCTGCCTAGTTTCGAGGCCGATGGCTTGCAGCAGGTGCGCAGACGCCTTGCCAGACGCGATGTCGAGATATGTCCAGATGGTGATTGTTATGACTCTATACAGTGATCTATCATAATATATTCATACATTGTTATATACTCTATAGATGATAATCTATTATGATAGATTCAGAGATAGATTATATGATAGATTGATGATACATTGATGATAGATTGTTATGACAGTTACTTTGAGCCAATTGTGAAACCAATTGTGGACACTGTGTGCTGAGTGATGAGCTATTGGATGATAATGTGTATGTGGCGTTTCAGCAGTGCAAGCCCCACCGGCAAGCCCCACCGAAAAGCCCACCGACACCAGAGATCACCAGAGCGGTGACTCTCACTGTTTCACAGCCTCCATTGTTTTATGTTTGGTGAGGTTCCTTCAGGATGCAGCCCAGTCAACGCAACAATCACTGCATTGTTGGGAAATCAAACGCTTTGTGGGGAATGAGCTGGACGACCAGATCGTGTAACAAAGATGAATCATGACTCATCATAGTAATCAAACGCAGCAAAGCGAACTCAAGAACTCAGCACAAATTCGCAAGAGGCTACAATAGGAAAATGATGGAAAACGTTGACAAACCATTATGATCATTATGATGTTGGGCTATTCCAGCTGGACAAACCCTGTCGCGTCGAATGCTGCATGCCCGGGCCTTCTCGCTCTTGGTGTTGCACTTTGGCCAGGTGCTGACAGCACTCACGTCCTTGTCGGAACTGCTGCCGCTGTGCATGTGCCAGGAGACCCGGCATCCCTAAGTAGAGTTGATGAAGCCGAAGCTGCCCAGACGATTTCAGTGCGAGTCCATCACCCGATGTTTGGGTCATACTTGGCATCCATATGGTGCAAAATCAGATCATTGTAAATCATTCATATATCATTCATAATCATCCAGGGATAGCCAGACAGATTCAGTTTGGATCTTGCTGGGTCCAGCACAGACAAATCCTCCAAACCTCCAACCCGAACGAGGCCCTGGAGTTCCGTGTGGCACCAAGAGACCAACATGCGCAGTTCAACCAAACACAATCACATCACAACAAACATCGGCATGTATTGACACCTTCAACATGTTCAAGGAGGAGACTTGTAGACCTAAACATCGCAGATGTTCAACCAAACTAACAAGGACAGTGTCGGTGCAGCACCGTGCAAGTATCGTCAGAAAGGATGATGCATGTTGGCATTGGCAGCAACAGGACCTGTTTCACGTTGGTTCACGTTGTTTCACGTTGTTTCATCAGATTTCGGTGGTTTTTGTATACTTTTTGTTAGTTTATCTGGTTGGTGGTTTCAAAGATCTTTTATTTTCCATAACAAAAAGGGGTTGTCATCCTTCCCAGTGACTCAGTGGCTGGATGTCCTTCTAAGGTCATGGAGACAGGTGGCTGACAGTGGCAATTGGCCATGGCGAGGCAGCCGCACCGGGGATGGCAGGTCATACTCGGATGGTGTTGCCGGTTCTAAATGGTTCCAATCTGTTCCAACCACGGCACATATATATATATAGATATAGATATAGATATAGATATGCAATGCAAATAAATGCATCTTATATATACCTATATATCGCACAACCTGTCAATGATAGATTCTGATAGATCTGGCTTTGATAGCTTTGGGTCGATGATCCAAAGACGTGAAACATGGCTGGTCCTGGATGGCTCGTTCGCCAACGAACCTTTTGCCGCAGCCAGGCACAAAAGACGCAGATGCACCTGGATGGTCGGAATTGAAGGACAAAACACATTGACCATTGACATACCTTGATGGAAGCGCTTGGCGCTGATTAAGCAGGAATGGTGATTTAATCACGAAAGGTAGCGTCAGCTACCTGAGTTCTCCGTGCTTCAGCACAAGCTTAGGGGGTATTGGGGGGCCAGCCCACGGAATTCATGGAATTCTCGCCGTTATGTATTGGATATCAATTATAAGGGGGGGGGCCCCCCCCCCCGAAAATGGTCATGGGTTCAATTCCCACGGGTGACGCGGTCACGGGCCCCCACATTAGAGGCACACTTTCCATGAGGGAGATGTCCCTGTAGTCCAGCATAATTGGTATGCTTCAGCCTCAATAACAGTTGCTGCAAGGGGTCTGAAAAAGGGGTTTTAAATAAACCCCTTTTCGTGCATCATTTCACGCTGCACAAGACACCGTATCATGCAGTCATGCTCTGGATAAAATCATCTTGGACTGCGCAAAAACGTTTTTGGTGTATCATCTTAGGGGCGCAGCATTTTGACACCACTCCTCTCCCACTACACTACCTTTCGTCCGCCTCCGCCTGCTCTCAAGTGTGAAGATAACAATCATAATGATAATAATAATGATAATAATGATAATTAACAATAATAAGATATATCCTTAAAGATGATGGCAAACTTGAAAAAAATGCAGTGTCAGCTTCCGAATTCCGATATTGTATGTCACTCGACAATGCCTGGATGGGTTTCGGCTTTGACCGGAATTTGGGGCCTGATTCGATGCTTTCTGGGGCCAAAACCTTGGATCGTGCAGGATGCCCTTTCAGCATTGTCGGCGCCTGAGAGTGTGGAACTTTGTCTGTGTCAGGTCCAGCTTGTTATGGTTGATGCATTGGGTGGGAACTACATGGAACTACTGTAAGTGGGAGATGAAAGGGAGATCAAACCAGCCAACCACATCCATCCATCCGGCAGTGGCAAGAGGTCACAGCTTGCGATGGGCCTCTTCGAAAGGGAAGGCATTGATGCTACAGGTGAGCCATGGTGGGCCATGATGGGCCAACCAGTTTCGATTTTGTTTCCCTTCGGCAACTCGTCAGGTGCAGATCAGAGTCCACAGGGCTTCTTCCGGCGAGCCGTTCGGGTGCACCCACAGCCGATGGCAGCTGCAGTGTTGGAAGGGCAGCAAGAAATTCCATTGGAGATACCTGGGGATGACACCCTTGTAGCTCACTTTACGCGTCAACGATGGCCAAAGCTGAATAAAATATGTATAGTAAGAAGATATGTTTGAATTAACTTGTCGGCATTATTATACATTATCAACATTGTCAACACTCGAAGAAATGAACATCCTATGCATGCACTGCTAGAAGTTGTTTGGCCATTCTCTAGACTTTTGGGGATGTCTACAAGTTTATCCAGCCTTGCTTTTGTGATGCCCTTAGTTTGTTGTCAGTTGCTTGACTTTCGTAAGAACCGTACATTAGACATGCAGTTTTGGGGCGGGAATCTATTCTCTGCACTGTTGGTTCCCAAAGACGTTGCTGTGCCTTGCTGACACGACGACGTGTCAGAGCACAACACTCCCTCTCACACAGCATACTGACAACAGGTAGTCACATAGTTGATAAGACTTGCAACACACTTTCAGTGAAGACAGTGCATCACATAGGCAGGTTTTCACCCTAGCGAGATAGTCTAGTCCATGTCCGCAGCTTTTCGTAGGCGTTGAATAGTGTTGGATGTACCATGGGTATCCTGTTGGTGGCATGTGACTATTTGGATACTCTGTAAGAGTCCTATTCAGGCAGTTGAATGTCGTTCGTCGCCATGTAGAAGCAGAGCCACCGTTTGATGGCTTGATTTGACGCTGAGCAAAGAGGTGGGAACCTCTTCCGACATGACGTAATTGTGTTGTACATGGGTACAGATGGTACAGGAAGAACAGTTTTGGCCAAGAAAGCCAAGAAATTGTTTTCTGGCAAAGGCTACATCCAAACTTTTCACACTGTGTAATTTGGTAGTTTGATCACGGGCCTTAGTGGTGATTCCGTTGTCAACCTGTTCAACTGCCGGGGATTCGTAGCAAGGACCTGCTTTGTGGCCCCATGATGTCGGACCCTGATGCAAAACCTGACTCTGAGGATGAGCGCCGGAGCAATGGAAGATGTTCCAGGATGATTTTGCCGAATGTGTGTGTGTGTGTGTTTTGCCCAGGGCGTATTACAGGAAGATGAGTTAGCATGAGCCAGCAATTTGTTGCTTCACTGCTTCACCCGTTGATTTTGTGGGTAGTGCGCAAAAATGAAGAGCTTGTCAGCGCGTTGCGATGGAATTTGCTCGAAGCATAGAGAAAAAAACATGGAAAAACTCTCGCGGATGCTGAGGTCCAGATCTGGACATCTGAAACTTGTATGAAACTGGTTGTCATCCATGTTTTTTCTCCTGCCAACTGCCAATGTCGAACAAAGCTGATTCAACATGGCTCAAAGAATCTCAAAGAGGCAAAGAGGCAAAATGTCTATGGCCCGGACAATCCGCAAGGAGAAGCTGCCAGAACTTTGGCCACGAGTGCTGGAAGTGGGCAGTCTCCAGCAGCCCAGTTGAAATGTTGGTTGGGAGGGTCAGAGGGAGGCAATCCAAACGAAATCGATTAAGCACAGCTAACAGTTAGACAGACTCAGTACTACCTGAGGTGTGCTCTTGTGGATTTTGAAGTTTTGATTCGGTTGAGATGTACTGCTTGTCAAGTGGTGGACCAGAAGAGCCTACAAGATCCTACAAGCGCCAATGTAACGTCATCCATCTCCTGCGTGGTGCACCTGCTAAATATTCTGGTGCGGTTTTTAACAAAGTTGGACCACCAAGCTGAGTGCATCTGGTGTGGGTCCAGTCCAATCCTCCAATTGACTCCCCAAAATGCCATGACCATGTCATCCATTCAATCCCAAGAGCTACAGCACGTCCACTACTTCGAAGAAACACCGTGTAATTTCCAGCAATCCTGAGGTGGCCTGACGCAAACAGAGAAACATAGACAAAATCAGGGTTGGACCATGTTGGACCCACGATCGTCCTAAACAGATCTAAACAGAATGTACTGTTGTTGCTGTCATACGCACCTAAAAAACACAAGTCGTTGACCCGGTCGAGGATGACAAATGCTGTAATATTGTGGATTTTGTGGCCTGGATCTGCTGCAATTTTCTCAACTACGGACTTGTTCCAACAACATTGATAATCAGTACACCAGATGCTGTGAACTGCAAACACTAAACACTGGACTAAACACTGGCTGCTTGACAAATTGCCTTCGATATGCAGAAATTTACAATTTCATCATTGTTTGGGGGCAAGGGGGGTACTTGGGTCTGCTCAACATGCACCCATTGTTTGGGAAGGCGCTGAGATGGTCGTTTGACATTAATGCTGCCATTGTGTGTGTGGGTGCCCTTGCGTGGGTTTGTAGGATAGTTTCGCAGACCATTTTGAGAGGGTCCCTGTTTGGTATTATGACATGCTAACATTATCCTCTTCGAGCTGCTATTCAATATTCAAGCTTGTATGGCCCTAGACTAGGCTGCCTAAGATGGTGAATTGGTTGAGAGACTGAGCCAGCCCAGACGTTTCCAGATTAATGTTTGACAGTGGTGCTAGTTTTAGTTGCTTTGTGAATCTTTGTGATATTATAACACCTTTGTGGAAACCGTGGCGATTAAATAGCACGCACCTTGCAAAGGAATGACATGCACTGAATATCAAAGTGGGAGTCTGCAAGCCAAGACTAGCTTCTTGGAATCCATTTGTCCCCTTTGCTGTGACAAATCATAAGGAGAAAGAACCTGAAGCCACGGTAGTTCAAGGCAGGAGGGGAGAGTGGATTCTTTGGAATCGGATGCGGAGAGCAACTGTCCTCTCAATGAGGCTACTTTGTCTCTGATGGATCAGTGAAAATCAAAGAAGTGCCAATCTGGACACAGGTTCCTAAGGTCCGAACTGAAGTTGGAATCTGAGGCAGCATTAATAAGTAATATAATGTTATATATATATACACATAATAGGTGGTACCAGATGCACACTAGTGATCACTGGTGCTGTCCTATCGTTTCAACAGGTGGAGATCTGGCTGAGTTTTTATCCTCAGGTGCAGCACACATGGGGCCTTGAAGCCATTACCATGTCCGAAAGATTTCAAAACCAGCAGAGGGCAAGTGAGGTCCACGGGGCCACGGAGTTCATCAGGTGTCAGTTTGGAGAAAACCGCAGTTCACAGCTGTCAGCCGGGGCGCAGACATCACGAATTGGAAGCCAAGCTGTTTTCAGCTCCACTCAGGTGATGACTGGCCAGAGGCCACTGTGGCAGAAACGAAGGTGGCGCAGCAAATGGTAGAGCAATTGGTTGGACTATATTAATGTTGGAATATGTTGGAATTGGTACTAAAAACTATCATGAACTATCAACATCATCCAACATCAATATCAATATGTCAATATGTATCTCATATGTATTTGCTTCCACTTGAGAAGTTGGGCTAACACAGCTGCCACGGGCTTACACAGCTGCCAAGGGCTTGAGGAGTCTAGTCATGATTTACTGCACTCTAGTTAGTAAACGTTCAAGGAGATGCAAGTCCAATCCATGGCCCTGAGAATTACCCTAACTCCATCGGTTTTCTTTGCCGAAAAAGGCACGCCAAGATTTGAACTGCAAACTTTGCTCAAGCCAAAGCAGCTCCTTGCCTAGAGCTGCCACCTAGCACCCTCTCTGCAACTATCATCATTGACAAGAAGGATGCCCAACGTTCTCAATGGTTGAAAGAGAGTTTTTTGCAGAACAAGCACTCCACCCAGAGGAGGTTCGACGGTTTTCGGAATGGCCACAAAAATGCAAACAAATACAAACTGAAATATGGGTTTGGCTTTCTGTTTTTGAACCGTAGCAAACTTTCCAGCCACTAGTTTGTCTGACTGCCACCATGATCGACTATGGCGCAAAAAAGGGGCAGCTTGGTGTGACATTGGGGACACTTATGCAGCTCCCACAGCCTACATCTACATTTCTATCATGGCCCAGATCTAGAATCCTTCCAAATGAAGAGGCACTTGGTTGAGATGTTGAGCATGCAAGAGCTCAGTGATTGAACCAATGAAGACTTTACTGTAGCACTGCAAAGATCTGCAAAGTTGTACTCGCCGTTTTCAAACATTACTGTATTAGATTTTTCATGATTTTTCCCGGTTGCCAGTTTTCTCACTTGACGAGACTGGAGCAGTGACATTGAGGCAGCCCAGCTGGTTCCTGGCATTCCAGTTGACTGGCAGCGTTTTCCCTCACTGTCCGGAAACCCAGAGGGCCCAGGGGTTGCTGGCGACCCTTCACAGCAAGTATGGAATTTGAAGCTGCTTGCAATTTGCAGCATTCTTTGTATGTTCGGCATTTCGACCTGTTTTAGATGTGGGCACAGTTCGAAAACTGTCCAAAAGACCAGAATAGATGTCTTGCCTTCGGTGCAAAATCTAGTATCATAAACCTTTCAAACGGCACGGGAACCAAAGCCTTTGGTCCACAGGTTACTACGAAGTTGCTTGTTGTTCTCGCTTGTGTGTCAAAATGTACGTAAGCTTCAGGGCATGAGTGGAGTTCTACAGCACTTCGCTCTGCCATCTTTTGCACTATCAGCTACAGCAGGATTGGCAGGATTGGCATTTGCTTTGGATATCTTTGAAGTGAGGTTTCTATATCGTCTTTCCCATCTCTGTCTTGGCACTGGTTCTGAAGATTCTACACATTGAAGCTGTCTTTGGCGAAGGGAAGAAGGACATGGAAATCACAGGTTACCCACCCGGGGAACCCAAACAATACAGGCGGTGTAATAAGCCCCCAGTGCAGTAGGGGATAGTTTTTTTGGGGGTTGTAGAGTTAGGGCCTAAGGGGCTTTCGATGGAAAGGCAACTTGCAAGATGCAGGGAAGAGGGCATGTTTCTTCAAGCTGATGCCTTCACACCTTCCTAAGTCCTGAGGTGTTACGGAAAACGTCAGAATCGAACTACATGAGTGCGGAAAGATGATCGGAGGAACCAAGCACAAAGAGATGATGTTTCCTCAGTTCATTTCTCTTCAAATTTCTTCAGGACTTCGTCACAGGCTTCTACTTCCTTGTGGATGGAGCACCTTGGAGTGGCCGCTAAGCCTTATAAGCACCACGCGAAAAAGTGACTTGCTGTGAAACCAACCTGCCCTGCAGTACACTGGCATACAGTGGCATACAGTACACTTCTTACACGGTTGATCGCATTCGCAGGTATCTCAAGAGTCACTGTTGCAAGGACATGTTGGCTATTGTTGGCTTAAAACTGGTACCATTAGCAAACCTTATGGCTGCCTTCTTTTATGATAATTTCATATAATTTCAGTCATCCATATCGTCGATATCCCTACTATGAGCCGGTGAATCTTCCTGATTCTTCCCCAATTTATGTTTGTTAGATCCGATCGGTAGGTTTCAGCGGCTTCGTGTCTTTCGTCATTGTCTTCCGGCTCTCTGCTGCGTACTCCACATATTGGCTGCTTGGAAGATCTTGGGCGACAGGGGATGGTGAGATGTCATGGCTCAGAGCATCTCAGAGCTAAGAGTTTGCATCGACCTGATTTCGCTAAAATAGGACTAAAATGGACGATTTTTTTAAAATTTAGGATTCATTCGGAATCAGAATATTCAGAATGCCCGATGGTATGTATGTTCACGAGTGAGAATTCGATGATTTGCAATTGCAGTCAGCATCAAGAGACTGTGAGATTGTACCTCCAGCAAAAACAAATGAAGCTTGGAAGATTTTCAAGGTTGTGCATCAAACTCACTAAACTTTCACTAAACCTTGCTGAAAAATATATTCACACCTCACAACCACTGTAGATATCTGTAGATCAGTGGAGCATTTCGAGATATTTCGAGGTCGGCCTATACCACGGCGAACGCCTTCCTGGGCGACTGGTCCGGTTCTGCTGCCTCAGCTGTCAGCTTCTGCCGTGGCTCCAAGCAGCCAGAGGAGCAAGTGGAGGCGTCACGGGATCGGGGATTCACCCGATCCAAGGTGACCAACACAATGGGTAAACCGTACGGTAAACCAATGGTTAAACCAATGGTTAAACCAATGGTTAAACCAATGGTTTAATATGGTTTAATATGGTTTAATATGGTAATCCACTGATTTTAAGGGCTTTTCATTGGGCTTTTCCATTTTTGGAAACCTCCATTTGGGACGATTCAACTGGAGTGAACTGGAGTGAACTGGACTGAACTGTTGTATTGAAAGAATCGTTGTCATACAAAGGCAGGCATTTTTAAGATCTTAAGCGGGATGACGGCGAGTTTTGACAGTCCAAGGTGTTTAGGTGGCTCGTGGTGGCTCGTGGACATGTTCTTTTGGATTTAGATATAACATTACGAACCTTGTCGTAGCATATGATAGCATATCGCAACGCCATGGTATGCTGGATTGAAGGTTCCAATCGTCGGATAGAGCACGTGGAGAACAATATGCTACGTATACTTTGAGGTAACACAGGTAAGGGTTTCTGCAGCACAAAAGTTGGAAAGGTCATGAAGATTCAAAAGCTAGAAACTTTCTACAGGATGCCATTCCTGCCCAGGAACTCTCATGGCTGAAGAAGGAAATCGATTGTATTAAGATTCTCATTGACAATCAGACACAAAGGTTGAATTTGCCTTGTCCATCCTTGTCCTTTGACTGATGTACTGCTGGATCGTGGCCATCCTTCACAGCTGGAGGTGTTCTTGCACAAGGTCATCCGGTTGTACAGCATGCTGAGCGCTTGCGCACTGCAGGAGAAGCATAAGAAAACCCAGATAGAAAACAAGTATTTGCACGGGGCTTGGTTAGGCTGGAAACGAATTCTCGGGTCCATGTTCAACAATGTTCGATGCAAATTGATTTGACGATGTTTGACGGCATAATGCGAGTATGTTATTTGGTTGCTTTGAGCAGGAAATGCGATGCGCCTCTATCCTTTTTGAATGTGTTGAGACCAGTCAGGTGTATCCATCAGCATCAGCCGTTGGAATCGATGTCGAGATTCCGCATGGAATTACACAATATTAGGATATATGAGGATATATTAGGTGTATTAACCCAGCTTTGCAACCCAACAGCATACCTGAATCTTCCACCTACGACCTACGTCTTTTTTCAGACCCTGTGCCAAAGTCCTGTTTTTTCAGTACCCAGAAAACTTTTCAGGACCTACTCTCAAATTCAGGACCTGGCCATTTTGGAGTATCAATGGTAATGGCAATCATTGGGTGCAAACATGTGAAACCAACATTTGGTGGATATTCAAGCCATTGGCATTGATCCACGCAAATAAAAGCACTCCCAGCCCAAACTCATGGCAAGGCAGGATCAGAATATAGTATATTCCAGAAAGTATGTCAGAATAGATGCCAGATAGGATGCCAGAAAGAATGTCAAATAGAATCTCAGAAAAGAATGTAAGATAGTATGTCAGAACATATATGCCACATATACGTCCAGATGATATGTCAGAAACTATGTCAGAATAGTGTGTCAGGGTGGGGATCACTCTTAGTAAGGCAATTTTGAAAATATATTTCAGGTTCGGAATTTTCAAACTGTTGTCCTTCAGGCGCCGAAGCTCCCGTTGAAGGTCAGCATCGCCCCATGTCAACTGGTCCAGTCCCACTTCCATTTCAACAAGTCCAACTTCATCGATTAGGGTGTTGGTTGAATGGACTTGGGACTCTAGCTGGCACGGCATCCCTTGTAACCCTGTAGACACTGTAGTGGGCAAAAAGATTGTAACACACAGAATCGGCATCATTTTGATCAGGCATTCTTTTGCTAATCCTTTCTCCCTATTACGAAAAATACCCCCAAATGACAAAAACTAGGTGCGATTTCCAATTTTGGGAAATGTCAAATTGGTTAATCTGATTTTTAATTGATCCCGTTGAGAAAACAATTTTAAAAATGAAGGTACCATGTGAGGGTTTCACCCCCAAAGAATAAAAAACTAGTCAACACCGGGGTGTCTTTTATTGGGGTCCGTCCTTTAAAATCGTCAATTTTAGTTTTTTTAATTCAGGTGTTGGTGTTTTATTTGATACTAGGCGAAAGCTTCGAAATCCTATTCTTGGCAGTATTCTATTTAAAGATTATTTTCATGGATTTTGAAATTAGAAACAAAAAACGGTTTAATCCCTTCCCCCTGTTGCTAAACAGTCGCCCCTTCACCCACCCACCCAAATAACAAACACCTGGAGGAGTTTTTAGTATTGGGGGGGTCTTTAGTATTAGGGTACGAAGCTTCCCCCTAATACTGATAAAAAAAACACACAATATATATATATACACATATTTCTATTTCAAAATCGATCAGATTTCTTTCTTTTTAAATCCAATTAAAATATGGCAAACAAGTGGATTCCGAAGCTTAATATCAAATAAAAACCCCCAACATAAAAAAAACTATGTATGTTTTTCTATTTCGAAATCGATTAGATTTCCTTTTAAAAATTAAATAAAATATGGCCAAAAAATTGGATGTCGAAGTTTTTCCCTTATATTAAACCCTAATATCATTTTGTTTTTTTTCTTGTTTCAAAATCGATTAGATTTCCTTTTGAAATCTATTGAAAAAAACAAAAAAATGATTTTGAAGCTTTCCCCTAATATCAAATTAAAATCCAATTATTAAAATATGTTCAAAAATTGGATTTCGATGCTTCCCCTAATCTTGCATGAAAAATTCCAATATAAAAAACTAAATTTGTTCTATTTCAGAATCGATTAGATTTCCTTGTAAATTCAAATTAAGATATTGCCAGAAATTGGATTTCGAAGCTTTCCCCTCATATTAAACCCTCATATCAAAGACTATTTTTTCTATATCAAAATTCATTAGATTTCCTTTTGAAATCTAATTAGAATATGGTCAAAAATTGGATTTTGAAGTTTTCCCCTAATATTACATTAAAAAACCCTAATATAAAATATTATTTTTTCTTTTTTGAAATCGATTCGATTTCCTTTTAAATTGTAGTAACAAAAATAAAAACAAAAACCGGATTTCGAAATGTTTCCTCTAATATTAAATTACCAGCCCTAATATATTTTAAAAAAAAACTGTTTCAAAATCGATTAGTTTTCTGTTTAACATATAATTAAGATATTGCTAAAAATTGGATTTCGAAGTTTTCCCCTAAGATTAAATTAAAAACACTAATAAAAAAAAAACTATGTTTTTTCGATTTCAAGAATCGATTAGATTTCCTTTTGACATCCAGCAAAAATATTGCCAGGCAATGCCAAAAAGTGGATTTCGAAGTTTTCCCCCAATATTATATAAACGTTGTAATATAAAATACTTATTTTTTCGACCTTAAAAGACCCTAGTTTTAAAAAATCACCGGGGCTGACTAGTTTTTATTTTTTGGTGGTGAAATCCTGAAATGGGACCTTCATGTTTAATTTGTTTTTGAAAAGGTATCAATTAAAAGTCAAACTGGCCAGCCTGAAATTTCCCAAAATTTAACGCGGACCCTAGTAAAAGGAATCAATGTAATATTTTAGTATTTAGGGTACGTTTAGTAAAAGGAGGTGGGGATTAGTAAGGTTTTCAATTTAATATAAGGGGAAGCTTCGAAATCCAATTTGGCAAGATTTGAGTTAGATTTTGAATAGGAATTCAATCGGTTTTGAAATATTAAGTTCATTTTTTAAAACGAATGTTTTCAATTTAATGTCAGGGGGAAGCTTCGGAATCCAATTTTGGCAATATTTTAGTTAGATGTTATTTAAAAAATGTTTTCCAATTTAGTTCCCCACCTGCCAGGTGAGGGTTGTTAGATTTTATGTCAGTTGCCTCCGCCTGCCTCGTCCTCCTCCTCCTCCTCCTCTCCTCCTCGTCCTCCTCGTCCTCCTTGTCATCCTTGTCGTCCTTGTCGTCCTCGTCGTCCTCCTCGTCCTCCTCGTCCAACTGCGACCCTCGACGCACAGTGGTCTCTGTCGGACCTCAACCACGACCATCCACGCACAGTGTTCTCTGTCGGACCTCAACCACGACCATCCACGCCCAGTGTTCCCTGCCGGACCTCAACCACGACCATCCCCGCCCAGTGTTCCCTGCCGGACCTCAACCACGACCATCCACGCCCAGTGTTCCCTGCCGGACCTCAACCGCGAGTATCCACGCCAAGTGTTCCCTGCCGGACCTCATGAGATATGCCAGATAGAATGCCAGAAGATATGCCAGATGGAATGTCAGAATAGAATGCCAGAAGATATGCCAGATAAAATGCCATGAGATATGCCAGATAGAATGCCAGAAGGTATGCCAGATAAAATGTCAGATAGAATGACACAAGATATGCCAGATAGAATCCCAGAAGATTTGCCAGATAATATGCCAGAAGCTATGCCAGATAGAATGCCAGAAGATATGCCAGAACATATGCCAGAAGATATGCCAGATAGAATCCCAGAAGATTTGCCAGATAATATGCCAGAAGATATGCCAGAAGATATGCCAGATAGAATGCCAGAAGATTTGCCAGAAGATATGCCAGAAGATATACCAGAAGATATGCCAGATAGAATGCCAGAAGATATGTCAGAATATATGCCAGAAGATATGCCAGATAGAAGTGCCAGAAGATATGTCAGATAGAATGCCAGAAGATATGCCAGATAGAATGCCAGAAGATTTGCCAGATAGAATGCCAGAAGATATGCCAGATAGAATGCCAGAAGATTTGCCAGTAAGAAAATGTAAAAATGTCACGGTGGGGATCACACGAAGTAAAGTATTTTTTTTAACCAAGGGGGAAGTTTCGCACCCTCATACTAAATACCCACTAAATACAAAAAACTATTCCGTGTGTTCATTATTGGGTGGGGAGGGGCAGACGGTTTATTATGACGCAGGGATTGGTCAGGCATCACTTGCTGGAATTATTGGATTCTTTTGGGATGATTGGTATGATGTTTAGTCAGGCATGGTTCCCTTCAGTCATGCACGATTTTTGCAAAAATCCTATTTAGGCACAACCCCAAAATCCCAGCCCGGCAAATTCCGGCCCGGGCCCGGCAAATTCCGGCCCGCGCCCTGCAAAATTCCGGCCCTGCGTTTTTCCAAAATCAGGCAAAACCAGTAAATCAGGTATTAAGTCAGGTGTAGTTACCTTTTAAGTCATTAAGGCTAGTCAGGCATGGTTCCAGTGGGTACCTTTTAATTGTGAAGGCTAGTCAGGCATGGTTCCCTGAATTCAGGGGCATGGGTACCTTTTAATTATGCAAAGACTCAGGCGAAAACGCTGCAGTCTATTTTCACTCGTGCCAAAAGGGTCTCACAAGTTTCAACTGCACATGCTGTTCATGTCAGTCTATGAAGTGAAATGACAAATGCAACTCTCTTATCGATTTGTGCGTGTCATCCTGGCACATGTGAGTGGGCTCCACAACTTTCCACACTCCTCCTTTGTGGTTTGAGCGTGGCTCATTCCACAACTCCAAAATTTTCACCTCTCAACGCAAATTTCAGCTCTGCTGTCTGACTCTGCATCATCCAGTGAAAACGTTTTCGAATACAATCTTTCAAATCATCAAGCTCTGCATGTCTTCAACATAGAGCCTAAACCTGTCTCGACGTTCATCATCTCCTCTGTTACAGTGAAAACGATATAGCCTCTGGAATATGTTTCTGATCTCATTTGAAATTCTTGTACTGAATCCCTCTGTTAGAGTGGAATCTAGCACCAGACAAATTGCCTGCTGAATCATGTTGGCCTCCTGCCAGCGTTCTGCTGCA